CACAATAAGCAATAACAATAACAACAACATACAGCATTTAAAAACCTATGGCCGGGCCAAATGTAGTAATTAAAATTTTAAAATGCTGGGCATGAAACAAGGTAAGGTAAAGTAGGATAGGGTTTTCAAAGGAAGATGAGGGTGTGTAAACAATCCTAAATCAGTATTAAAGTGCATTTGAGGACATATTGCTAAGAGTTTTCCTTATTCTGGGAAGGCACACTGGAACAACCACGTTTTCAGGCTCCTCCTAAAGACTGCCAGCATTGGGGCATGTCTGATGTCCTTGGGAAGTGAGTTCCAGACAATTCAAGGTGCTGGTTTTGACCTACAAAACCCTATATGGTTCCGGTCCAGCGTATCTGTCCGAACGCATCTCCCTCTACGTCCCACCCCGGAGTTTGAGATCATCTGGGGAGGCCCTGCTCTCGACCCCACCGCTATCACAAGTGAGGTTGGTGGGGACGAGGAGCAGGGCCTTCTCAGTGGTGGCCCCTCACCTGTGGAACTCACTCCCGGGGGAAATTAGGGCATCAACATCCCTCCTCTCCTTCAGGAGGAAAGTAAAGACGTGGTTGTGGGACCAGGCCTTTGGGCAATCTGACAACTAGATAAGGACAATCAGATGACTAGGACTGACAGGATTGACAAAGTGGAATTGGAAATTGGACTATGAGATGGCGAACGCTGACCGTTAATTTGGAGTAATTGGTTTGTATTGGTTTTATTAGTTTTATTGTTGTAATGCAGGAACTGTTGGTTAACTGTTAATTGCTGCTATATTGTTTTATACTACTGTTATGTGATGCCAGCATCGAATTGTGCCTTTGTAAGCCGCCCTGAGTCCCCTCCGGGGTGAGAAGGGCAGGATAGAAGTAACCGAAATAAATAAATAAATAAATAAATAAATTCCAGAGTTGAGGGGCCACCACCGAGAAGGCTCTTTCTAACATGGGGGGCAAGCTTCAGTAAACATGGGGGGCAAGCTTCATACTGTTGGGAGGCACAATCTATGAATCAGATTTTTAAGTCCTTTTTCCAGAGAGTATTAAAAAGTACTTTTTAATTATATTTTTTCTACTGGTACACACAGATCGGGAATCTGCTGAATATACCAGTTGCTCATTCCATGCACCTGCAAAAAATGTGGTTGCAATCACATATCTGTTATGAAATATATGTAGATTACTGAATGGATTCCAGGAGAAATAATTTGCAGAGACCGCTGATAGTAATGGGAAAATCTATCTGTTTGGCTTTCTCCTATATCCAATGGGTTTTTAAACCCTTAAGTCTTTCTATCCTGAATATGTGATTTATGACTCTTGATACATTTATCAAAATGAATTGAAATGAAATGTTCACCTCTGTGCTCCAGTTGAATTCAATAGATTCAGCTATTCCCATCACAGAGAGAAATATGTTGCCCACTTGCCGCGTACAAGTTACAAATGATGAGCTTTTCAGAAAGGAAATAAGCTGTATTTCAGAGGAAGGAATTGGCCAAGCCACATCTGAGTATTCCCTGCTTAAGAAAACCTTATGGAATTCATAGGTTCACCATAAGTCAACAGGCAACTTGAAGGAACAGTCACAGAAAATCCTGATTCCATACTAACATTGTTGAATATAGAAAGATTCCAAGCAAAACTTTTAAGACTTAAAAGGAACTTAAGATCATCGGAGTAGGCCCTGCTCTCGATCCCGCCTGCTTCACAAGCACGTCTGGTGGGGACGAGAGACAGGGCCTTTTCTGTGATGACCCCTTGGATGTGGAACTCCCTGTCTAGAGTTATTAGATCGGCCCCCTCCCTCCTGACCTTTAAAAAAACCGAAAACATGGCTCTTCGAGCAAGCTTTTGGAGCCTCAGCATAATCAGACAAACTTGAATTGGAAAATGATCTAGGAATGGTGAAGACGACGGAACAGATGAGGACTGAACATGAAGACATAGTTTTTAAATTTTTATTGCTCATTGTTTTTATACTTTTAGATACATTGTGATGTTTTCTTCTACTTTTATTGATGTATTTTATGTATTGCATCGAATTGTGCCAACTTGTTCACCGCCCTGAGTCATCTTTGGGCTGATATGGGCGGGGTAGAAATAGCACAAATAAATAAATAAACTTACCAATTCAAAGCTCTGCATGACTCTGTCAGGCTTCTATTTCTACCATATTCCTCTTTCTTTACTTTAAAATTCCATTCTGAATATGAAAAAAATGATATTCTTGCCAAAACCGAACCATTCAGCTCTCTAATACCCAGACTGGGAGGTTGCACTCCTCAAACCTTTCGAAGTTGCCACAGAAATCAAGGATCTGGCTCCATGATATACTAAATAGCATTCTCCTGGCTGATCATGTCCAATCATATAGTCACATAGAATTGAGGGAAATCACATGGCTTGAAATAGTCCCACAACACCTCTATCTCCTACCTGTGTATGTTGTCTTTGAAGAAAAGCAAGAATTCTACACAGTGCCTGATTGCAAGTCAACCTGGACAAATACACACCAATGTTCAGACAACAACAACAGCAAACAGGTTATGTGACAAATGCCTCTTTTGCATTTTCTCAAACCTATTTCTGTCTCTCTCACACACAAAGCCTTCTCCTCCCCAACTGCTTTGCCAAGGCAGGCAGGGTAATAATAATCTCCCAAAGGCACTTTTTTAGCTTCTACCAGAGGACATACACCAATTAGTTAACAAAAGAAATACATGCAGAGCTTTAAAAACTTATACCTTGAGACCACAACTGACAGAATGACCTTATCACCATACTAGCTTTTTTTTTGGGGGGGGGGGTTGGGGGAGTTCATAGAGGCCCACAGCTTCTAGGTAGAGTTACTCTAGCAACTATAGAAGAGAACTTCTCCTTGTCCTTAGCAAGGCATCAACATAACACAATGGAGGCAAGGCAATACTTGTAGCAGCATGTTGAAGAACTGGGCTTGCTTAAAGTTTGGGATGAAACTGAAGCACTCTGATTGTCTAGGATCAGATTAATCTAAATCAGTAGTTTTCAATCTGTGGGTCCCCAGGTGTTTTGGCCTTCAACTCCCAGAAATCCTAACAGCTGGTAAACTGGAATGACAGATATATAAACTAGGGCTGTCCAACCACGGAAAAATTTGTTTCTAAACTCGATTCGTTTTTAGGCGGTTTTTGCGTTTCATTATTTAAAAGAATTCCGAAATTTTTCTTTAAAAAAATTTACGAAATTTTGGAAATTACGAAACAATTTCGAAACAATAACGAATCGATTCGTTAATGGCGGACGCGATTGCGCAATATGCTAAAAAAAACCCTCCAAATGGGACAGGGGGAACTTCTGAAGCTTCCCTCTCCCTCTGTTGTTGACTGTTGGTGTGATAATTTATTTTTTATCACTGATAAAACAAACAACAACTATAAAACTTGCACCAGACATACGGAAATAATAACGAAATAATAACGAAATAATAACGAAACAATTTCGAAACAATTACAAAACAATTACGAAATAAATTTTAAAAATTCGTTTCGATTTTAAGTTGCTCCTGAATGGTTCAAAAAAAATAATGAATTAATAACGAATTACGAAATTAACGAACGAAACCGCCCAGCCCTAATATAAACCCCTTTTTCCTAGTTCCAACAGACCTCACTACCTCTGAGGATGCTTGCCATAGATGCAGGCAAAACTTGCATCTAGAGAAAATGCCTCTAGAATATGGCTATATAGCCCGAAAAAACCTACAACAACCCAGTGATTCCGGCCATGAAAGCCTGCGACAATACATTATTATTATTATTATTATTATTATTATTATTATTATTATTATTATCCTAGCACAGTCTCTCACCTCTCCAGTAATTGTTTCTTCCATCTCTGCTGTAAAAGGTCAAAATGGTGTGCCATGATTTTGCACACTTATTTCAAATTAGCCATTTTCCATATTGCTAGGGATCTGAAATATTTGTCTTGACACTCCTATCAGTAAACAGCAAAGCCCTAGTACTGGAATAAATACAGACAAGTGTACAGACAATGGAACCCTGAAAACTCAGGGCATCAACCACACCGCTAGCCCACTTCTTGTGGTGAGGGATTTCATTATTTTCCTTATTCTTTCTACTTTTCTTTTCCAACAAGTATTTAGCTTTCCACAAGTACTAGGCAACTGGTCTAAAGGGGAACACTTTTAAAAACAAAATTATGGGGAATGTCTCCAATTTTTAGGGTATTGCAATATTTCCCACCTGTTTCTAAGTGGCCCCTTTCAGCTACATTTCCATAGGCAACCCTAACCAGAGTTTGCAATGAGAAGGACAGATAAACACAAAAGTATTTGATTTGGAATTCCTGGGAGCCAGGCTTATGTACCTCTTAGTCTGCAACAAGAATTGCATGCTAAAATAGATTAGTCACACTAGCAGACTTACAAGCCCTTTAGCTGAATTAACACCTGGACACGTAGCCAAGAGGACCGAGAATGCTTCTGCTTGGCTCGAAAAATTGTGAGCCATGGGACTTGCTCTCCATTCTGAGAGCAATCCCAATCCCTACTAGACTAAATCCTGATCACCTTCCTTTCTCACTTTGGCTTCTATCATAGCAGCTTGACCTCTCGCTGAAATGCTCCAGCTCTCCTAGTATTTATCCATCTTGGTTCCTCTAAATGTGTTTGGATTTCATTGACTGAGTCTCTGCCCACTGTGTATTCTAAGGGCTTTTGGGAGGAGGACCAAAAGTTAACAACCATTGCTTGTTCCAAGCTCCTCACCTAACTGATAGTTTGTGCTTTTTCCAAACTTGTGACCCCTAATAGTAATTCCTGATGGCAATTAAACTGAACACCCATCTCATAAATGTGTCTGGATTCAATCAACCACTGAGCCAAGAGATCAGCACTCAACACAGTGAGAAGCCCACTGACAGGAGCCTGCTAATATTCTAGCTATGGGCCTGTGCTACAAGCTAATGTGCCTAGCAATAGAAATCACCCACCTGGGGCAGCATGCGATTTTCCTCCTCCAGCTGTCTTACTCTTGCTTCCAGCTGCCTAACATAGGACAATGTTGATTCTAAAATTAAAAAGACAAAAGAAAAGAACTCGCATTACACACACAAGTCTGCTTCTTTGGCACACCTGAGGTAAGAACAACTCACTGGCTGGTACTGGCAAAGGTTTTCATGGCTGGAATCACTGGGTTGTTGTAGGTTTTTCGGGCTATATGGGCATGTTCTAGAATGCTTCTAGTACATGGCCATATAGCCCCAAGAAACCTACAACAACTCACTGGCTGGTGATTTCTAGCTTGAGTGTCTTCATAGCAGTAAGAACTAACTGTAAGATATAGGGTAAAAGCATTTAGTCCTGTAGATCTCACTGGGACAATATTTCAAAGTATTGGCTGCAACTAGAAGCCACCTAAGATTTGTAACTCTAGATAAGACTGGGTTAATCTTCTGTACAGAACCTGAACAATTAAACCTAAAAGCATGCTTGGATGTGTGGAGGCTTGAGACATGGCTATGAAATGCATAAAATGGCCAAGATGTACTTCTTACAAATATTTGCATTCATTTAGTACATGTGCAGAACTTAGGATTCTCATGGCCTGGACCTTCTTCTCTGGACTTCAAGGCGAGGAGGAATCTCAGTGCAAGAACACTCTCTTGATAAGATGTCTCTGTGTGTGTGTGTGTCCCTCATTTGTTAGATTGTTTTTTAAATAATTTTTCAATTATTTGAATGGCATAACCGTTCCATGCGTGTACCAATCACATTACCAGGGGCTATCCTTTACAAGGTCACCCCTGTAACATCACCTGTGCTACAAGAGGTTGACCTTCCATCTCAAGGTCTGGCATAATTATGATGATGATTGTGACAATGCATTAGTATTAAAAAGTTTCAGTAATAGTAATAGCAAAAATGTTATAATCATCATCAACAACCTGTCTGACTGCAAGATAGTTCATGGTGTTCCTTCATGGATCTCACTCTTTCCCCATGACCCCACACTTCGATGGTTTTCCAACTATTGTTCAGACTTTTCCAGTTTTCTCCTAAGACTACTAGGTTACTTTATGTAAGACATTTAAGCTAATACATGATGAAGTGTCTGGCTCCATCTTTAGCCTTCAGCCTTACTCATCTCTAGAATGCAACCCTTGAGGACTTCTCTGAGACTGAATTTGAGCCTTTGGCTGAAAACGTTCTCTGTCTATTCTCTAGCTTCCAGTGGTAATGCAGGGAAAAGCTGGGAGCCACATTTTATGTAGAATCAAACTTGGAAGGGCCTCCCTGGCTTGAATGGGTAGTCCTTTTCTTACTAAAACAATTTTCACCTCAGCTTCAAAAACCAAATCCATCACTATTCCAGAGTGCATACACCTGACCCAGATGAGATCCATAGGACTCTACATTCATGCTACCTGACCCTACAGCCAACACTTATGAAGAAAGTCGGATCACATCAGATCATATCCAATGGGGCCCACACCAGCTTGTACTCAGCATAAACTATGAAAGAGCTTTCATAAGAGTAGTTTGAGGACATCACTTCTTTCCAGATCCTTTGTTCTGAGTACATGCAAATGTAACCCAAACAAGCATACACTCCCTCCTATATCATGTGCGTACAGTCATCTTGTGTCATTGCTATACATACTGCCTTTCTTCCTGGTACACAGCAGGTGAATCTGCTTGTTGTTCTGTATGAACAGGGAAAGGTGCGGGAAGTAGCATTCACTTATCACCCTTTGGTGACTTACTTTTTTTTTTTTTTTTTGCAGTTTCAGAAGCTGCAATAACTCAGCTAGGGGTTTGGTGAACAGTCATCCCATCGGTCATGGCCTCTGGGTGAAGGGGCTAACTGTATGGGTATTGCTTATAGTTAAAGCTACAGTTTGTCATTTTTATTCTCACTGTTTTAATATAGAGAATCATTGTTTTATTGTAGCTGGAATGACAAATGTAATAGCTGCTACTGACCTCACAGGACTGCTAGGGAGGAAAAGGCATTAATGCTGACACTAGATGAAGGACCACCAACAAATGTAAATGAGACTCCTTTTTGTTCTTGTAACACATGTAGCAAAATGGGCTAGCAGAAGGAGCTTGCAGCGGGGCATGGCTTGGCTAGCAGGTCAAGGTTCCTGCTAGCCAAGCCATGTCCCCCTGCAAGATATTACAAAGCTAAGCTGAAAACAGGCCATGCTACCGCTTTGCCTTTTCAAGATATCTTTCGCAGAACCATGAGATCATAGAAATGGAAGGGATTCCCTAGAATATCTAGTCCAATACTCTTCAAAGCAGAAAATCCAGCTAGAACACCTTCAGCAGATTTCTGAAGATGTCCCATAAAGGAAAACCCAACACCTCCTTAAATAATTGGTTACATTTTGAACCATTCCTTCTAAAGTTCAATTTACATATATTCAGTAACTTAAAACCATTACACCTGGTTCTATCCTCTGGGACAGCAATGAACAAACTTGCACCCTCCTCTCTCTTCTTTTAAAGAGGGCAATCTTGTCACCTCTAAGACTTCCGTTTACCTGGTTGAACATGACCAGCTTCCTCAATGTCTTGTCGAAGGCTTTCATGGCTGGAATCACTAGGTTCTTGTGGGTTTTTTCGAGCTATAGGGCCATGTTCTAGAGGCATTTCTCCTGATGTTTTGCCTGCATCTATGGCAAGCATCCTCACTACCTCTGAGGATGCTTGCCATAGATGCAGGCGAAACGTCAGGAGAAATGCCTCTAGAACATGGCCCTATAGCCTGAAAAAACCCACAAGAACCTAGCTTCCTCAATCTTTCCCTATATATTTGGTTCTCTATATTTTAAATCCTCCTTGCCTTTCTTTAAACCAGTGGTTCCCAACCTTTTTTTGACCAGGGATAACTTGACCAGGGACCACTATGACAAGGGACCACTTTGACTAGGGACCACTCTCCAACATTAATACCGAAAGGATTACAAATCAATTTTTGGTCAACTTTAGGTTCAGTTTGGGGTGTTGATTCAGAAAATTGAATTGGATAGACCACATCAGCTCTAGTTTCTGATACAGAACATATGCCATAGCCAGCGACAGGGAAGTAGTGGCAGGTGGCATGAAAGGAGTGGAAATAAAATAAATATAAATAAATAAATAAATAAGTACAAAGGAAGGAGGCTTGTAGATCAGATTTTCATCCTCATGGCCCACTGGTCGTCCACAGCCCACAGATTAAGAACCACTGCTCTAAACCTACCCTACCTTGCCTATATCCACTTTGAAATGGGGTGTCCAGAACTCAACTCCAGATGAGGCCTGACAACATAGAAGACAGTGGGATAATTACTTTCTTTTCCTTAGAAATTTTGATTCTATTATACAGGATACAATAGTATTTGTCTTCTTTCCTGCAGCATTTCTGTCTGATACTCAAAATTCTAGAACCAGCAAGCATATTTAATTATCCTTTGGCTTCTTCACTACTGCCCCCCTTGTGTGTCCTTTGGGGCAGGGGACTTCCACAAAATATTGGATTCTATTGACACTTGCCAACAATATAGTACAGGGAAGACATGGGAAATTAGATTAATGTGCAATTTGATTGTTGATATACTGTATGTTTTGTAGACTGTTTTTTACATGTTGTACACCGCCGCGAGTCGCCCCAGGGCTGAGAGCGGCGGTCAACAAATGAAGTAAATAAATAAATAAATAAATAATAATAAATAAATAATCTCAAACTTATCAGTGTTCACTTTTGGTTGTCCTAATGAATGTCTTATTCTTCAGAGAAAATAATTCAAATTTGTTCAGCATTGTAATCATTCCAGGAGATTCTTTCCAGTGATTCTACTCCCTGACGATTATACAAAATATTTACTCTAGCTTAGTAAAACATAGCAGATGATCTTCATTATCAAGTTTGGAGAAGAAAGGAATGAGTTACCTAGCTACTACAGACTTGTCTGTAGTCACTTGGCTATTCAGGGGTTGTGGCTAGCAATGGACCTCAGCTAGCACAGCGGTTTAAACTGCCAGCTACAGAAAATCTTGTCAACTGGAAGGTCGGCAGTTAAAGCTGCAGGGCAGAGTGAGCTCCCACCATCAGCCTATGCTTACCTAACAGTTCGAAAACAGCGATGTGAGTAGATAAATAGGTACTGCTTTGGCAGGGAGGTAAAATGCGCCCTGAGAAACATGCCGGCAATTTGATCAGGAAGGCATCCATGGACAACAGCTCTTCAGCAAGGAAAAATGGAAGAACAGCACCTCCACAAGGCCGATTAGAGCACAGCCTCCAGATGCCGGAGATGAAAAAGAGAAAAGCCTTGCCTCTGTCTATGTACTGTCTGTCTTATTAATTGTATAATGGCATTGAATGTCTGCCATATATGTATTCTGCAATCCGCTCTGAGTTCCCTCAGGGAGATAGAGCAGAATACAAATATTTATTTCTTTATTTATATACAGCTTTTATATTCCACCCTTCTCACCCCGCAGGGGACTCAGGGCAGATTACAGTGTACACATATATGGCAAACATTCGATGCCAGTTTTAACATACAACATATACAGACATACACAGAGGCTATTTAACTTTTTCTGGCTGCCAGGGAAGCTGTCGCTTTAATCGTCCACCTGCGACTCTGATGAAGCACTTCCACATTCCCCACATGCTTCCCCACTGGAATGCTTTGCTGGAGTCTTCTTTATGGCCTCATAAATCAGTTAATTTAGCCTCCCCACACTTTTTAAGGTGGTACCTTATTTTTCCTACTTTACAGGTGCAACTGTCTTTTGGGTTGCAAAGGTCGACAACAGGCTACACACAATTGGTTGGAAACCCACTCCAACCCGGGCTGGCTTCGAACTCATGACCTTTTGGTCAGAGTGGTCTTAATGCAGCTGACACTCAGCCAGCTGCGCCACAATCCCGGTATGTTGTTGTTGTTTATTCAGATTCAGTCTTTTTGCTGAAGAAAAACTTCCCAGGATTTCAAAAGAATTAGCCATTTAAGAAATTAAATATTTATGGAATAAACACATGTGGGACAGGGTAGTACAGTAGAGTCT